CATTTTTTCAATCACAACAAAATGTACGTTCAACCCTATTTTAATTTACTAGGATAAGTAGTATCTTAAGATCCCATTTAGCAACAATCCAATTCTCCCCCAAATTTTCATTTGGTGGAACCATGTTACATGTATCAAGACCAGAACGGTCATACAGTTCATACAACTACCAGCGATATTGAGGAAAATAATTCGTATGATCCTCAAGATCTTACATTGCCTCTTCCACAACATCTAAATTCTATACAGCAGTCTCAACAACAGCATAAGAATGGGCCTGCATATTTTACACTAAAAAGTGTAAGAACATTAAACTAAGCGATCCACTAAGTTTGTGTGATTTCTATTTGCACTAAAGTTCTTCGACTTTTGTAAAAACTAACGGGAATGAAGTGTGTATAATAACATGTATTATTTAATTTGAAATGGTTTTTACCGAAATCTTTCTTTTGGAAAAAAATGTGTGCGTTCGTTCGATAACAGTTGTATTTAATCATAAATTGTTGATTATTTTTCTCTCTTTTTTAAAGTTCTGTCTTCTGTATTTTAGAGTTCATCTGACGATGTTTTTAGACATCCTATTCTGCAATGTACACCTGATTACTTCATTCCGACAGGACTCGATCAAGGTCCACAACCTCTGACACATACTACAAGAGCTTCACCAGCAACAGTTCAATGGTTAGTGGATAATTTTGAACCGGCTGAAGGCTGTTCTCTTCGTCGCTCAACGCTCTATACGTTTTATTTACAACATTGTTCGGAACAAAAACTGGAACCTGTAAATCCAGCGAGTTTTGGAAAACTAATTCGATCCGTATTTTTGGGTTTGAGAACTCGTCGACTAGGAACTAGGTACGTTTTATGTGAGATTATCTTAGATATTATTGAAGATGACATTGCATTTTTGTAGAGGCAATTCTAAATATCATTATTACGGAATACGTGTGAAAGGCACTTCAACTTTAAATCAATATAGCGATGAACATGGTGGACTCACATTTCGAGGACAACAACATTTTCAAAATATGAAAAGGTACATTAATATGTGGCAAAGAGAAAGCAGAATTGTGTAATTTATAGTGTTGATTCAGATTTGAAGAACTAACTTTCCATTTCTCTTCTAGACGTTGGCCAGTTTTGCACGATGCATCTTCGCCTCCTCCAGAGACTAAATCAACAATCAATACAACTCAAGAACAATCGTATCCATCTCATTCATCTTCCAGTCTACGTGAATCAGAAACAAACGTAGTAGCTAATCAACAACACTATGTACCAGAAACGAGTAAGAAATATGATGTATTACATACGATTTTATGATCTACTGTTATCTTTTATTTAATTTAGATGGTATTGTTATATCTGAATCTATCCAGATTAATTCATCAACTATTTTACCAGATTGTATTACACATGAGGATTTGAGACGATTTGAAAGTTTATACAAAGACCATTGCACAGTATGTATTAAAGAAGATCATGTGAATAAATTGTTCAGAAGTTATAGAGCCACTAAATTATCTCTGATCTTATTTTTGTTTTCCCTCTTTTCAGAAACTATTCGATGTAATTACAAATTTACAATTTACATCAGTCGAGCAAATATGGCTTAGTTTTTGGCAACCATTATCGATCAATGATCAAAGGTAGGACGTAAAAAGATAAAAGAATATTTTGAACTAACACCAATTCGTTTTTGGTTCTTTAGTGATGCTCAAAGTTGTCATTCAATTCCCATTATTCAACTTCATAGTCTATGCTCAATGCTGCAAGTTCAAGAGTTTATTCATCTTTGTGATTATCAGTTATATCAACAATTAGTCGAGAGGCTGATTACAGATATTCTAAGTCCAATGCCGGGTAAGATTGAGAGCCATTGGAAGAAAACCATGACCTATACTGATCAATCGATGTTCGAGTTTCTGGTTCAAAATTTTAGCGTAAGTAGGAATAACAAATTCCCAAAAGATTTTGACCGAGAAGTGTATCATACCGGAGCTAGAGTATCTTTCGTAAAAGCCCTGAAAATCGTAAAAAGTGCCATCTATCCGTTTTTCAGCGGCATACGCTCGCATATGTGCCATAAGACATCAGAACATATATAGCTGGACTCTTTGAGGCTCACGGTTTCATTTGATATATGACAAGATTAAGATGTAGCACACGGCTAACTATGGCGGTTCTATGACAAATGCCTTCGGACGAAACTAAATTGTAAAAATGCTCTATTTTCACTTTCTCTCAAATCATCAATTATACTGTGCAATCAAACTCAAGTTTAGTCAAGTAATTCTGTTTCTCACCCGAAAATTAGGCTAAAATTTTGAACCAGAACCTCGAACACCGATTGAGCAGCATATAGGAAAATCGGTTACCCCTTCCACGCAATGGTTCTTAAACATAATGCACGTCTTTTTTTATTTGGACTTCAGGTCCAATAACCCAGTCGATTCGTAATTTTGGCAAAGGTTTAGAGTCATCATTAAGGACAGCCATTTCACATATGCCTGAACGATTAAAAACAATCAAAGTCAGTAGGATAAACATCAGTTCAATGGTCTCTAACTTGTTCATCCTTCCTTTCTAGTTAACAATTGTAAATGCTTTCGCCATGACTCTACGTCGTTATACATCATTAAATCATTTAGCTCAGGCAGCAAGAGCCGTATTACAAAATACATCACAAGTACAACAAATGTTACAAGATTTAAATAAAGTTGACTTTCATAATGTACAAGTAAGAAAATATAATATATTTTTACAATCAAGACACAACTTATTTCAGAGTCTTTTCTCTACTTTTTTTTAAAGATTTATTTTTTTTTCAACTTTTTTCTATGTATGTGTTTAGGAACAAGCATCATGGGTTTGTGAATGTGATGATCTCGTTGTGCAACGTTTTGAATCTGATTTCAAACAACAATTACAATCGCAATCAACGGTAGAACAATGGGCACAATGGTTAGACGATGTCGTAGTAAATATTTTGAAACCTCATCACAATTCTCCTACAACGACATACGATTTGCAAACTTATACAAAAATGGCTAAGCAATTTTTACTTAATTGGTCATTTTATTGGTATGTTTTACTGTAGATATATCGAAGGATGTTTATTATTGTTGAATTTTAAAATTAAACAATTATAGTGAAATATTAAGAATATATCAGTTATGTGATTATTTTATGTTTTAGTTCAATGGTGATTCGTGATTTAACACTGAGAAGTGCCGCCTCGTTTGGATCATTTCATTTAATTCGTTTACTCTATGATGAATATATGTTTTATTTGATCGAACATAAAATTGCTGCATATACGGGAAAAACACCATTGGCAATAATAGCAGAAGTAAGTAATTTGTTTCTACAGCTTTTATACTGTTATATCAAATTGTATTGTTTCTCATTTTATTTTAGTCTGATCTGCAATCAAAATTAAATATTTATGATGTTGACGTTCAACCGTTGTCTTCTCAGCTCACTATGACAAGCAGTTTACCGTCTTCTACCACAACAACTTCGAATGGAATTGGATCTACGATAAGCATCGAGCGCCGAAATATTATGGCTCATAAAGTAGCTTTAGTTGTTAAAAAAACACCGCAGATTGATGGTAACAGTTTAACAAGTACAATGACTGGAGGACAAAATCAGGTAAGAGAACAATTTTTCTAGCTGAAACAATGTTATTTCACGTTTTAAAAATTTATTATCTTTTTTTAGGCTAAAGTCGTAACGTTAGCCACAGAAAATTTACCATTTTTTAATAAAATGCTTCAAGTGACCTCTGTTTCAAAAACTACACCCTCTGTTCAAGTTCTCTCATTAAATCCATTAGCTGCCACAGATGAATCTCATACTAATAATGGATCGACAATAATTATTGATTCTTCACGTAAACCAACACTTGTCACTACACCTGTACTACAAAAGCGTCCTATTTTAATCGAAAATGAGAATAAAGATCAAGAACAACAATTACTATCAAAATGTTTGAAAACTGAATATGAACGCCAAGATACAGTCACAATAACTGAAAGGTAACAATAAATCTCATCAAACAAAACTGATCTGATTTTCGTTTCGTTTAATTACTTTTTTTATATATGCAACTTATGACTGCACATATTTTTTGTTAGTAATTTTTTTGACTACTGTTTATTACTTCAGCAATGGTGCACATCTGTTGTTGTTTTTTACCACGTAGAGAAGCCAGTACATGTGTTATGAGAACGCCTACTCATTCAAAGCATTTAACGTATGATATAAAAAGTATTGCATTTTGAGAAATCTCTTATTTTTAAACTGAATGCTTACTCAAGGTATCTGCTCGAATATTTCTTAGAATAACATTTCGTCTAGAAACTGATAAAAATGACGAAGTGCTATGCATAAGAATGTAAACAAATATTTTCTTTTATAGCTTGTTATTTCCAACATGTTTTTATATTTAAACAAAATATTTTTTTGTTTTGCCTTTCTGGTACGGGCGCTTATTTAATTGCAACAGTAATTTTGTGTGTTAATTGAACAGTAAGTTATGTGTATATCGTGTATTGTAGAAAAAAGACATTTTTATGCATATTTTTGTGTTTTACTCTTATACGTATTTCAATTGTGTATTTTCTTTGTAAAATGATCTTGTGTTGAGAGATGTCGTTTTGTTTTGCTTTATATTATATTTCGTAAAATAAAGAACGATTAATAAATTATTTTGTCATTTTACATAGTGATTAGTAGTACAGAATTTTTCTGAGACACAGTGGGCAACCACATGGACATTAGGTGGAAAAACGAAACTGAGTTTTTACAAGATTTAAGCGGTATCATATAAACTGTGACTAACGCTCGATTTAATGGCGAATCTACCTATCAAGGGTGTTGCGATACTCTATTTGGTATAAGCTTTATTCTGTCAGAATACAAGCGAAAAAATATTCCATTATAGTATTCTAAACTAAAACTATCGAAAAACACAGAATCAATTTTTTGTACGAACAGAGATTCAAACACCTGAACTTAGCTTTGCAGTAAGATACCTATTTTTAAAAATTCGCTAGTTTTCAACGACCTCTGGAAAAGGAGCATGTAGCATAGAAAGGGAAAGAAATGTGCACATGAATTCTACATAAACGGAAAGAGAAGCTCTTGCTCTATCGATCCGTAAAAATCTTTTTATTTCAAGTGTTTTCTGTCGGAAATATCCAACTTTTTATCTACGCTAAGTGTTTTCCGACACATTCTCTTCAGCAAAGTGAGTTTCTTAAATAATTCTTATGTTTAATTTTATTGAAACTTTCACAGAATGTTGCCCAGCCCTGTTATACTATCCAAGCACATACTGGAATTTTGCTATTCATGTGCTGTATATAACTGATAATTAGACAATGATGCGTCGAAAACGGCGGAAATTACCCACATGTATGTAAAATACTAAGAATACGAATATGAGAAATAAAATTTATTTAACTTCTGTTGTGAATTTAACCGAATAATTTCCGTGATTCATGCTTTCTACTCTCTAAAACAAAATCGTATTCTAAAAAACCCAAAAATGGTATCCCGAGACCGGGAAACCAAAATTGGTTCTTATTAGTAACAAATGCAGATACCCTTCTTTCCTGTTCTGTAAAGGGAGTTGAAGATGTCGTAAAACCCTCGGAGAGGTCTCATTCTACTCAACATTGAATACGCTATCAATCTAGGTGCTTTTTACAAGAAAATGACAGAGGTTTTTGAGAGATCTAATTTTCTGAAAAACGTATTGAAATCCTCTGAATCTTCAATAGCGATTGTGTCAGATTTAACATCGTCTATAACCTCTAAATCGATAATTACAGTCTTTTTGAGTAAAAAATGCTTGACTCATTGGCAAACCACTTATCAGATTTGGCGTCAAAACGGCTAATTTTCAATGAAACTCAATTATCTAAGTAAGGAAAAAGAACTTTAAAACTGGCGCGACATACTTTTAATCTGCGATCCAAGACAAATCTTTTGACATATGAATGGAGGTTTCATTTCTCAACAACATTCTGCCATTCTAAATTTCAAACTCAAATATCATCAGTGCATAGCCCGTATATAACTCTACAATTTGAAAACATGAAATGCAAGTGGAATCAAAGCAACTACATAAAGTTACTTTTCAACCAAAAAACGAAAATTTTACAAACGATTCATTGGATGAAGCTGAATCAGAAGAAAATGAACCACCTTATTCCTTCAGAAAAAGGTAAAGAAGTTGTGAAATAAATTTATGTGTGTGAATATATCGCAGTGAATAGAATATGGTGTGTTTGGGGGTAAAAGGGGAAAATATTGAAGGCTTAAGATATTCTTACTGAGCATATAGAGAGAGAAAATCCGAACGATTGAGTTTCAAGAAAATAGGAGCACAATTTATTACAATTAGATCTTGATAAAACGAAGAGTGTTTGAGACCAACTTGGTCTGAATTAACAGATAGACAAAGCAAATATGAAGCAGCTGGTACAATTGTTACATTAAAGTTAGCTGAATTATTTCAGCTGACTGCATTTTCACCAGCTGGTGCAGCGGCAGTAGCAAATTCTCCTGGTGTATGAAACATTTATAATAATACGTTTTAGCTCGCTGCGGTCATGTAGGAAAAAAGTGATACTTGGATAATGTTTGTTCTTCTTAATAGTGGCTTATGATTTTAAAAAGCAGAACAAGAAGTTTTAAATAAATTTTATATGTAAAATAATGCAGATTGTATGATAACGAGAGTCGTAATAGTAACTCCCCTATAATACAAGCCCCCTCTAAAAATGTTGAACGCTTTGTTACGTAGTGTTTTATACGTAACTTGTATCCTTCTTTGTGTCAGTACCAACAATGAATTATGTTTTCATATTTTATTAACAAAGATATTTACATCAGAGAACGAGAACATTACGTCAGAGAATGAGATTTTCTACGCTTCCTAACAGCTTAGACAGTTTAGAAGTCCCGAGGGCTTGTATGACGGGGAGGTTTTTATGTCAAAATGTTACCGATAAGCAGTTACTTGTACTCGGTTTTAGGCAAACGGGATTCTATTATAGATTTCTGAATAGAGCGGCCATAGACGGTTTTTAGGAGACTCGAGAACACTTTGGACTATATGTTACAATCCGTTAAAATCAAATTCAATCGTCCTTTTCAAACTAACATACCCAAGCATGAAAAATAAATCGGGAATTGGGCAATTAATCTAGTTGCACAAAAATTAGACCCAATTCATCTAGATTCAAGCTAAGTGGAACTAGTTTTAGAAAAAGGAAAAGAATTGAATTCGGGAATTCAGCTAGATTCATATATGACAGGGAGCTTAAGGCATAATTAATTGATCTATTATAGCCCGGTGTATCTAGCTTTTAAAGTCAGCAATAGGAGACATCTTGGCACTCCGTTAAGCGCCCGCTCACAGCCCAATTAATTGACCTGTAGATAGAACTTCCATCTCCACGAGAATTTTACTTTTCCACGAGAAATTAACTTTTCCGGGAAAGTTTTAGGCATTCCCACAGGAATTTTACTTGCTTCCACCAGAATTTTACTATACTACATGAAAACTTTAGCTATGAAGGAAGGTAAAACGTCCACCGCCACGAGAATTTTACTTTACCACGACAACTTTAGTCATTCGCACAGGAATTTTACTTGCTTCGTCTACAAATATACCCCACTACACAAGAATTTAATTTATAAGAGTAGACAGAATCTCCTTGTCCGCGAGAATTTTACTTTTTCTCCAGTAGTATAATAAAATTCTCGAGCAGATGGACGTTCTGTCTACTCTTATAAGTAGAATTCTTGCGTAGTATAGCAAAATTCTCCTTCTAGAAAGTAATAAAGTAAAATTCCGGTGGGAATGACTAAAATTCTTGTGCAGATGGACGTTCCATC